TCTGCTAGGCTACCCCAGACGTGTCGAAGACACGTCTGGGTACGAGACCATGTCTTGGGTGCAGCAGCTGTGCCAGTCCTTTCTGCTTCAGTCTAGTATGTCTGAAGCCATGTTCCGGCTTCCTCGGTGACACTCACGCGGTTTTCAGCGACCTCTATGGACGGGACTAAGATTACCATTATGCCCGCGCTGGTGCGCCGCCGACAATGACCCAACGAGTCAAGGGGGCAGTAAGTAACGCGCGCTTGGACGTGTCGTCTGCCGCGGGGGCCACTCTATGCGTAGTAGGGATGGCCTGTGCGCTTACTCTTTTCGGCCCCGTGATTGCTGCAGGGGCAGCAATGGACGCTTTGCAAAGGCATTCGGATGCAAAGGCGTGAGTGCTGTTCTGTGCTTGCCGTGAAGTTTAGGCTGACGTCAGTGCGCAGAGACGCCCAACGGGCAAAGGAGGAAGCCGCGGCCAAAGCCAAAGCCCCCGTCAAGGCCAAGCTGAAGCGTTCTTGGTTCCAGTGAGTGTTAACATATCAAAGTTGAGGTTCAGTGCTCAGATCGTGCTTTAGCCACCAGAGCAACGACCAGGCCCCGCAGCCCCCGACTCCACTGAGCCGTCGTGCCGAGATCCTCGGCCAGCTCATTGCTCGTCAGCTGCTCGAAGATGCGTACTTGGATTGAGCTTGCGACGACCTGCATTCGAGCCTATCTTGTAGAGTGAAATGCATTGGCTGCTGTGGCGAGTTCAACTAATCATAGTTGTGTGCTGGTCCTTGCTGTAGCCCGCAGACCGTCGTCAGAACGTTCTTGCAAATGAATGCCAAGTGTACAATGTCGTACTTAGATTCTTTTGCTTTTGTTCGATTCGGCGTAGTGGCTGAGCGTTCTCCAATTTTCTTTCGGGCCTGTCTACGATCCTCCTCCGCGCCTATGTGCTCCCTCACAGCCATTGCCAGTGTCCGAGGACGTCGCCCAGTTGTCTTCGCTACCTTGTCCCGTTCTCTCTTTCCCTCATATTACGCTTGATTCTCAGCATGGCTGCCGTGGCAAGGATGCCGCGTCTGGGCTGCGGGAGGCCCAATAGCCGCGCATCTTCGGCGTTGGTAAACCGAGTGCATGTCGCCGAAGCCTGTCTTGCGCCTTAGCAGCTTCCACACCGTCTTCTTTCAGTCAGCGACCGTACTGCTCAGATCCATCAGGGGGTGCGTCCAAAGACAATCACGGATCCTTTACTCGGCCCTCTCATTCCTCGCATTGAAGAGGAAGTTGACCTTTCTGATGCTGGTGCTCGAATATGCTCCTCTCGACGAGAATCACTCTAAGCAAGGGAATCAAAAGACTAGACCGTACAGAAGTTTCAAAATACGAGCTGGTCTACCTCATCGCTTGTGGAAGCCTGCTTCCAGTGTAAGTGTTTTTTCTCACTTTTCATCAAGGTTCTATGAAGATCTTAGGAAAAGACACACCGCAAGCTCCTTGAAGGCCGTTTAAGGTGGCGTTTAGCTGCGTAACGGGCAAGTTGGCTGGCAAACACTTCGCTTTCGAGTCGTTAATTCTCAAGACTGGCATGGCAAGAACACATACAGGGTGTTGGCTCACGAGCAGGAGTCACTCTGCCCGGCATTCTTCATCACTATTTCCAAAGATAGCGGTTTTATGTCTGGATAAACTCTATGCCCGGAGAACGTACAGCGTGCGCGTTTGGAATAGGACCAGAGCCTAGCTGACTGTTCTGGGTGGCAAGTTTCCAGTGGCTGATATAACCATGGATGAAGCGGAAAGGAGCGAAAGTGCTTGATTATTCAGATCGGGGTAAATCGAGGTGATTCTTATCACTTTATCAAAGTATATGTTCCGTCAACTAACTTTGGTTATCATGTCTGACTTTCTTCTGGGATTCACAGGCAGGAACATATAGAATGGCCTTGACTTCTTTCTTTCTTTTCTTTCTCTTCTCTTCTTTTTCTTCTTCTATTCCTTCTCGAAAACATACCTCAACAAAACAGTAACGGCTTTGGGTTGTCTGAATTTACTCCTGGAGGAAGTTAAATGACGTTGAGGAAGTCGAAGAGATGTCCATTTGGGAGTATATGAACACACTGGATGAGATTCTCCCCCGTGTCAAAAAACAGGTATGCTGTGTCCCTATAACGGCTCATGTCACTAGCTTGCTCAATCTCATTCGCGCATGCTTCAGAAAGCCTGCTCTTTGGAAATAAAGGAAGACCTCCCAGAGCATGATGTGAGGAAACAACTGGCGTTTGTCCCGAATTGAGATCAACGATTTAGTTCAATGCCTGATCCCGAAAACCATGGTCGAGATTCGCCAATGAAGGGGCCGGAGCCTGAATATCTATGGCCACGTCAACATGCATGTAAGACATTCTGTTTTCCTGTTGACGCTGTCCTCCGCCTATTTCCAGTTCGAACCAGGAATAACTTCAATCTCTCCGTTATATGCACTATTTTCGCGAGGTTCGGTTAATTTATTTGCGGGATCTATCCGTCTCCGATGAGAACTGATATGTGTATACGGAGAAGCCGACCTAACCGCTCGGTCGCCGAGTTGCTGAACTGGGCACGCTCCTCGATTGCTCTTACCGGATTTGTTTCAGTATCCATCGTGCTATCAAGGACATCTTGGCTAAATTGAGGAATCGGAATTGAGGAATCGTGTCTGACGCCATTGGAAGGAGTAAGGGATGACAATCCAAGCTTCTCATCGGAGCAACCTTGCTGATGTCTCGCGGGGGACAGGGGGTTGTTTCTGACTTCTATCCTGGCGGGACCGTTCGCTGCTGGGCAGTACGTGGTGATATTTACGTTGATATCGAATGCCCTGCTATCTGATTCTCAGGAACACGACTATTCGCTTCTGCGCAACGCAGGTAAAGCGGCCAGGCATGCGTAAAGCGATTTTCAATTGAGATGGCGCTATTGACTGATCAGTGAGCGATGGTGAGGCAATAAGACACTGGAGTGTAAGCTCGGCAAACCAGACCATTTTCTGTGCCAATCTGCCGCGACAATGGTGCGATCGAGACCAGTACGGACAAGATGACGCCGGTTTCCTGGGAGTTACTTCCTTAGACTTTATAATGGTAAATGCATTGTGACCAATACTACAAATTATAGCTAATTCCAGTTCCGCACTTTCATCAGAGAATACAACGATAATCAAACAATTATTCCTGTTCAATAAATAATATCAATGAATTTTGCTAACAAGATGGCAGGCGAACCTGCGAAAGCATTAGATAATGGAATCTCGTACAAAGCTACGCAGAGTAATCGCTCACGGAGAACATCATTTGTGTCGTTAGACGTCACTGTAATACGGTACGTGTACCCTTGTTGTAAGAAACAATCCACAGTGAGTATCGCGAGGTTCCCAGTTCCATATTTCCTGTTGAACGAGTCAGCACGTTAACTCCTGGCCCGTTGTAGGTTGGGCTTACGCAAAACCCTTCAATTTGATAAGTAACATTTGACCTCACTGGCGAGCCACCGTAGCCTCTACAACGCAGGGCCTCTCTACCCATGCTATACTGAAAATGCGTTTCAAGGATTCAAAGAATGACAAAACTACGGGAGGTGAGCGAACAAGTTTTATCATTCTTCGATTTTGCGTTGATGTTGTATCGGATGATTTTTCGCGACCCCAGTATTTTATTCTGAGGTCATGAAGCCAAGGACGCGTTTTCGGGTCGATTAGGATCAGGACATTTGACCCAACGCATGACAAGAGTGCTACAAGCATTAGATTGCATGTAACTTTGTGTCGGGAGCTAATGAGATATTTAATGTTCGCGTATACCTCATTAGTTCCAGACGTCTGCCACCAGATTCCATTCGCTAGGTATGGTTCTGGCGGCAAGCCAGACAGGGCGCGGCCAATCTGCCAATAGCGACTAGCGCGGCAAGACACTTCTGATCTCAAGCAACCCTGTTCAAACTGACAACCGGGTTTACGTACAATGTAGTACACCAAGCGGCGGATAGGGCCTCCTGCTGTGTCTTGGAGATCCATGTACGCATTTGCAATCGCTGCAAGTGAATAATGTTACGATTGGGGAAATTCCTCTGGAGACGCCCTTGGTGAGTGGGTTTGGTGCAGGTCGCTTCTCATTGATCAATCAGATTTACGGTATTTGACAATGCTCCAACCATCGCATCAGTCCCATGATCGTACAACGCTCTCGATTGTGATCTTTTAGGAGGCGAATGCTGTAGATCCGTTCATGCCACATGGAGTGTCAACGCTTTCTGATCATCACCAGCGCCCGAAGCCCATCGAGCCTCGGCGATGACGCCCAGTCTTGCAGAATCCAGTTCCCCATTCAAATCCTCATGATGCAGGGCCGCTGCTGTAACGCGCCGGTTAACCATCGTCCGCTGATGCGGAACGTGCTCTTGGTGTACTTTCCTATATCTGGCTGAGTCTTGATAATGGCGCAGCAATCGCACGTCTTGACACGACCTCACACTTCCAAGTTCCGTCTGTTCTTGGTTGTCAGACGGGCGAGACACTCATACCTGCACTTCAAAAAATCAGATAGGACACTCCTTTACTTATTTATCCTCAGACCCCATAACATTTGACCTTTCCGATATGCCGCCGTCGCTCGACCTGCTGTACGTCGTCGGTGTTACGAAAAAGCTGTGTTCTAACCCTCAGTCTCTTCTTGACAGTATTGGGCCGCAGGTTTGTTCAGCGCCGATTGGCGTCGAGAGCTCGTAGGCTCATATCGGACTGGTTGTAGATCCTAGGCACCTTTTTCAACTGGGCGTTGCTGGGAGTTCTCAACATTCAAGTGTGTGAGTGCTGCTTTCCTTTAAGTGCAATCTGCTGAATCCTGAATCGTTCGTCCTAGACCTCTACACTGTCTCGTTTCCGCGTGACCGATTGTTCTTCAAGTGCTTAGGTGAGAATTACGGTGAATCTCGCTAAGTGTTATTTGTCTGATTCCGCTCGAATAGTATATAGCTTGCTCATCTACGAGTGGGTCGAGACGGCGTTGGTTACCACGTCTTTCTTCAATGTTTACTTGTACAACTTCGGCAACCCTGAAGCTGTCATTGGATTCCAGTACACTTGGTTCGCGGTCCCGGTTATGGGAGCAGTTGTGTCCGCCATCGTTCAAATCTTCTTTGCTTGGCGTATCTATATTCTCTCTAGATTGCGGTGGTTGGCAGGAACTATCATCTTGGTATGACTGGAGAGCTTCTCGCAAATATAACGTGGACACCAACCATTCTTTGCAGCTGAGCCTCATCCAACTGGGCGCCGGACTCGCTGGCGGTGCCAAAGTATGTAACGACTACATATCTCTGTCTGCGTTGCTTACTGCGTTTAGCTTGAACAACTTCCTGCTTGGGAGGCAACAAAGCTCGCTGAACCAGAGTTAATCGTGAGTCGTTTACTCGGTTTTCCAGTGGCATTCTGGTGACGGCCGAAATAACTAGACATGGCTTGTAACAAGTGGCGTTGTTGACCTTGTAATTGCAGTGTCGATGACGATCTTGGTGCGTAATGTCCTGCAACAATCGGCCATTCGCATGGTAACATTGCACCCTCTAGCTCCTCTACTCCAAGACTGGGGTTAAGAGCACAGATGCCGTCATCGATCGCATTGTACGTTTGGGCATCGAGACCGGTACGCTCACTGGTGAGTGATCTCGGTGGCCTGATTGCCGATAATTGTGTGCAGCTAAGCCGTGTTCAGCCACCATGGCTATTATTTGTGCTATTGTTGCCAATGTTCCTCCCGTAAGTCTTCATGCTATCAGATCCAATGGAACATGATCGATCTTATTAGCCGTCAGGTCAATCAAACACTTGTTTTCGAATGCATGTGAGTCTTGCCGAAGATGAGGACCACTAAAAGACTGACGTGGACTTTCAGAGCTCTAGTTCTTGTTAAATTGTATGCTTTCGTTGTCGCTCGTCTTGACTGAGGGAGTCTAAGTAGAACGTATCAGATACGCCAACACACTCCTTACCAATCTCAATAGCCGCACTCTGTCGAAGAAAGTGCGATCCGCTGAAGAGTCCTTCGCGACCAACCGGATAGAGCTGCCAGTCCGTGGTGACACAAGCGTAGCTGAGTTTGATGGGCTATCCACTGGCAGAACTCTCGACGGAGCGAGCCCGTTTGGCCCAAAACCTTCAATGGAAGGTACAACCTGCAGTGATCACAGCCCTAGGCCACAAGTTGCTGTTATTCACATCCAACAAGAGGCTGCGCGCGAGAAAATGTCGACAGATGCAGGGTTGGCGGTTTAGGTATGCTGTACGTTTCTAAACAACCTCGGGTCGCTAAATCGTTAGCGTTTCCTGGGATCTAGGTGCTTTCATGAAATTTTGGCGGCTGTTGGCTCTCGTCGCAGCAGTGCATACAATACAACCATCTGCGCAGTGCATGCCTCCCCAGAGAAGCGGCTTTCTTATCAACTATGGTATCTGTTTATGATTGTATACCGTGATGTATGACCGGCTAGGACAAGGACCAGTCTTGTTAATTTATACCCGTCGCAGTCTTCGCTCAGGCTTGAGTGTCTTAAACGTTTCTTGTCTGCGCATACTGTTGTATCCTTACCCTTAGCCACTGCCCGCTTTACTTCGAAGGGACCAGTGCATGTGTGTTGCGCTCTCTCGAGTTCACGTGTGTTCGAATTGGAATCACGCACGTGTATGGCAGAAGACCACGAACAGAAATAAGCAGCAATCGTGCGGCAGTGATCATATAAACCAGAGATGCCTATGGCGAGCCTTTGATCCGAAGCCCGACATCGGCAACACATTTCCGCGCGCATGTCGTACACACAACAAATAACTGGAGCCCTCCACCACGTCGCGCCTGAGCCTCAAGTTAATGTAGCCTTCTCCCGCTGCGCCACAAATCGCTCCAACAGGACCTTGCGAGACATCTTCCCAGCGGCCGACATGGGAATCTATATGACCAGGGACGAGATCAGTGATGCCAAGAGTGAATTGTATGAGCGTGCCAGCTACACATGCCTGAGCAACAACCTCATATCCGCCCGTCACCCACTTGTACTGGGTTAGTTTTTGCCGGACCCATTCGTCAAGCAGCTTCATGACTGCATCTCCGCCGCGTTGTTTGCCTTTTTCGCTCAGGACGATCCAGGCACGCGGGATGTGCTCGTTGGCATCAACGCCGTTGCTACACACGGGCACGCCAGCGACGGCGACATCGGTGATGAGCCCGTCGGGCTGGGCTCGCAGCACGTCCTCGAGCTCCGTCGGCGACACCTGGAAGTCCGCCACCTTGAAAATCTCCTGCAAGTATTCACACACTCGTCAGCCTGGCAACACCCACGCACGGCAGCGCCCTCGCACCTTCGCCCTGTCAACAAAGCTGCGAAAGGCGACGACGGCATCGGCGTCAGCGCTCTACATAAGTCTAGGTTGGATGAACCGCTCACTAGAATCGCCCGTGCTGGTCTATCCTGAAATGATCACCCGTCTTGAACCAGCCACCTTCGGCAAACGCCTCTCTCGTCGCCGCCTCGTCGCCAAAGTACCCCGGAGAGATGTTCGCACCCCGCAACCAGAGCTCCCCCGGTTCGTTCACACCGCCCTCGGAACCGTCTGCGAGTATTATTCTCGCCTCAAGCCCTGCGACAAGTAATCCCACAGCGTTGAAATCAGGGGGAACGCGTCCGCCAAACGCGGAGGGCGGGAGCATCCGCAGCGCGATACTGGCGATCTCGGACATTCCAAAGCCTGACGATTCACATGAACAACGGAGGCGGAACGGAATGCAACACAAACATCACCTTGGACGACAGGCAGCCCGGGCCTGATCGCTTGTTGCACAGTAAGGGCGAGCTTCGGCGGGAGATAGGCGGACCCGCAACCTATGACCATGACGGACACAAAATGTTCTTTCTTGAGGTTTTTGCAGTGCACAAGCTCGTGTAGCTGGCTCGGACGCAGGTAAAGGCCGTTTACGCGGAATCTGGTGTCATTGCATGAAGGGATAAGTCGGTCCGAGAGAGCATTTACTAACTGACGCACTTTGGGACGACCTCGAGAACTAATTCAAGGTCCCATTTCGGGAAGATAATCAAGCTAGTGGGAGACCGAAAACCGCGAAAAGCAATGAGCCCTAGTCCATATGTGTGTGACATGGGCAGGGGAGCCAGGATGACCACTGTCATGCCCTGAAATCATATTTAGTCTCAATTCCTGAACGTTCCTTAGATACTGAGCACTTGCCTTGGGTAAAGGAGGTTCCTCTTTCGCGATCATCTCACCTTGTACGAGCGAAAAGCAGACGTTCCCGTGGGTAAGCATCACGACTGTCAGAAATCATAGTTGGTCATTCCGATTTTGGATGCGACCATATGAGTTGACCAACCCTTCGGAGCCCCAGTCGTTCCGCTAGAGAACACGGCATATGCGAAGGTGTTTCTGTCGGCGGGCTTCACAGGTGTCCTGGGCACGCCGCACCTTTCGACTTCGTCGATGGCTTCTGCATAGCTTTTCCTTCCTTTCACGATGCCGTTCAGTATGTGGATACGCTCTTCTGGGATTCCAGCTTCTTGCGCAGCCTGCAACGCCACCTGGAGGAGACTAGGCTCGACGAAGATGCGAGTTACTTTCGCCGACTTCGCCGCGTGTGCAATCTCGTACGGCGTCGTCGAGTACGCAGAGAGGAGGGCGAATGGAATTGTCACCACGAGTAGCGAGTGCATCAGAGCTAAGTAGTCCTACTTGATAACATTAGTTAGCCCTCTGAAAATATATACGCCGCAACGCCTACAAGGCAGTTATAGCTCAGGATTCCGACATGCTCGTTGGGTCCAATCTCGAAACCGCCTGAGGAGAGAGGAGCGACCAGGGCGGTAGCACCGTCGCGAACACGGTCAATGAACTCGGAGCGAGTTCTTCGCACTCCCGTGAGCGCGTCAATGTGGATTGGATAGTCCACGTCTGGCGTACGCGCGGGCTTGTTGAACAGAAAATCGTGTACGTTCTGGTCAGCGAGAGGCAGGACTTCGGGGAACAGCGGTTTGAAGATCATTGCAGAGTGAATGTGGTTAGGACCAAGGCAAGAGTTTGTGGCAAGTCAGATAGAACCGTAATGCGATGTTGCCCTGCGCGGCGGACATACCATACTATTATATAAGTTCTCACTTCAGGGAGCCGAGGAGCTTAAGCCCGACTTAAGTCGCTGAAGTCTCAGCCGATCGCAGGCTGATCACAAAACTTAACCTCTCGGCTCCCTGAAGTGAGACGACCTTATGTAAACCGATGAACTTGAAAATGGTGGCGATCGGGGCCAGAAGCTGCTCATCAGCTCATCATGTGGTCATCCCGAGTGACCTCCACGAAAGGATGCTGAGAAGGTCTCCTGTCTACCAAGTCATCATCTATGTAATTCGTCGAAAGCATGCACTTACTCGCCGGCATGAATGGGATTAGTATGTAAAGCTCTGAGTTCTGTCCCTGAAGTGAGCTGTGCTGTAGCGACCACCGCGGCCGTGGAATGATATGATGGTCATCCGAACATAAATCAAACACTACGTAGCCTGGGCCCCAGTAATTTCAGAAGCAATTCATGGACGAGTGCCTCGGCGGAAATGAACTTCAGGCAGCACAATTAAACAGTTGCTATTGAAATCCGGCAAAATTGTAAAGCGAGAAAAATGTGACAATTCCGTCCATCCCAAGCAACACGACCAAAATGAAGTCCCAGTAGGCGGTGGACCGAACCGGTCCCAGGGCTGTGGGGATCCCCATTTCGGTACCTTCGGGGTCTGAATCGGAGCTCATATCCGCACCGACTGACTCGATCGGTTGGCACCGCCGCCTGGGACCGTCTTCAGCAGGCCGCTGAGCGATTATGCAAAGTCGTGTGTCGCAGTGTCAAGTTGAGTTTTCAGCAAATTTAAACTCTCGCTGGCTTTGTTGACCTCCCATTCCCAGCAACTGATGCAAAGTATGTTCATCTCGGAAGCTACGTTAGACTTGCCTCGACCAGGCCAACTGATGACAGTGGGCGGCCATTCTATGATGGCTCTTGGCTGCACGACCCACGACATTGCGTGATTTATTGGTCACTCAGGCTCGTTTGCGTGTCTTCTGATCCGTCTGTGCTAGCTCGCAGCATTATACTCGAATCAGCACCAATCCAACAATCATCCTAGGCCACACTTCTGTATGCATATCTCTGTCCTCCATGACTCGATGAGCGTCGGGAATTTTAAACGAACCCCTTCAGATGACGTCCCAAGTCGTACAATATTAGTCTTGCCCTCCATTCTTCCTTGCTCCCATACACCCGGAGATCAGTCCGACCCTCTGGCTGTTGCAGATCCATGGCCGTGCAGACCAATTCGTAAAACTAGATCCGCTCGCCCATCCATCGATTCTCCAGCCTGGATTCCATCCAGATGCGACTATCTCAAACCGCAGGACTGCTGACTCAATGCACCCTCAGCTCCGAACATGACGAGCAATCGGCTCCCTATTTTTCTATCTGACAACTGAGTACTCAATCCCCCTGTTGCACTGATACGTCATTGCAGTGGACCATCACCTGGTGATTTATCACGTTCGTAACTAAGCAGTCGTAATGCCGCCCAGCAGGCGTGCTCCCCATCGTAGCCGCAGGTGATGCGGTGACTCCGTACCCGCGAGTAGATGTCTTCTTCAGATCAGGATGGAGAATGCCACTGAGAAAGTGCTTCAAGCAGAGGGTCCAATTTTAAACCCATGTAAAATGGCTTGCCAGGCCAATGTGCGAGCATACCGCTTGAGATGGTTGAGCATCCTTTCAGGCGCTTTTACGATTCCTACTAGGTTTGTAGCTGCACGGCCATGGCTTCTGATGCCAACCATAGAACCCGATTCTGTTCCGTTTCAGCCTTCCAGTTGGGTTACTACTTAGGTTAGAGCCGTTAGACCCAAGATTTGCAATTGCTAATCTGCTCTCCGGGCCCGGTGAATCGGATAGTGTGCTCCCGACTGATGGGCCCTGTGTCGTGTTGGAGCGTGAGTACTTTACGCTCAATTGCCTGGTGGATTGCTTGATTGTAGCATTGCCCACTGCAGAAACTGCCCCTCTTTTGCGCAGATATATTCGCCGTAGCCTACGTGAACATTAATACGTGCACGGTCGACGGCCGATACCACTCCCATCTCTTTTGTTTCTTTCGTCATGGCTTCGACTACAGGCGGAGTTCAAGTTGCCATTGTGCGTTTGGCTTGTTTTTCACTTAGTATGCATCTGACAGATGAGTCCTTTTCGTTAGGTTGGCATCGCTGCCCAGCTTCCAAGTGGCGCATATAGCGACAAAAACCTCGACTACCAAGCATTCTTCCAATTTCTCCTCGAGAAAGGCGAGGCATATGAGAAGATACCTCTCGAGAGGTTCAACATCGACCAGTAAGTGCTTCTGCGCTACGTTTTACGCTTATTGTAATAAACCATACTCCTTTCATACAGCCTACGCGGTGATGGGCTCGGCCATATTGTTTCAGACACAGGTGCTTTTCTTAAGGACGTGCACCTCCTAGACTACCTCGAGTTTGGCATTACGAGCAAGGACGCACGATTCATGCCGCTCAGTACACGCCGTCTGCTAGAGACTACATTTCTTGCACTTCTTGACTCCGGGATCGACTATCGCGGGAAGAATGTAGGGTGTTACATGTCTGGTGTTGCACACGACATGATTACCATATCTGGACACGTAGGCATCCTCATGCGGTCTTCCTCCATTGAATTTAACTGGTATACACATAGGATGATGGGGAGGCGCGCGGAACATTCGCTGGTGGCCCTGCGATGGTCGCGAACCGCGTCTCGTACCACCTTGACTTGCGAGGTCCATCTGTTCCCGTTGATACTGCATGCAGCTCTAGCCTATATGGAACTCATCTGGCCGTGCAGGCTCTCCGCAACGGAGAATGCGAAGCTGCCGTCGTAGGTGGATGTCAGATCAATCATAGGTGTGTGGTAGATTTAAATTTCAAGGATCAAGATACTTTAACAGTTCACAGGCTCGCGGAATGGTTCATGTATAGCCAGGGTGGTATTTTGTCCCGCGATGGCAAGTGCAAGCCATTTGATGCGTCCGCAGATGGGTATGTTCACGAGTTTCATGTATGCGCTTATCCGGGCATCTATAACAACTTATAGGTTCGGGCGCGGGGAGGGTGTCGTTTCAATTGTTTTGAAGCCACTGAATACGGCTCTGCGTGACCATGATCACATTTACGGAACAGTAAGCAGGTCGACCGGGTTCAACACACGATCGTTGATAGTAGCGAATTAGATCTTGGGCACGGGGGTAAACTCTTCTGGATCACTTGCTCCAGTCAATGCCCCTGTTGCTTCCGCTCAGCAGGACGCGATGCTGCGAGCATTTGCTCAGGCGCAAAGACGACCACAGGATGTTGATTTCATTGAGTTACATGCTACAGGTGTGGAGAGCGTTGGCCGTGTATGGAATGATGCTGATGATACTTTTTTGCAGGGACTGCACAAGGTGATCCTACTGAAGCCAACTGGGTGGGTGCTCAATTCAAGCGAGACGATGAGCTGCTAGTAGGCAGTATCAAAGGAAACATCGGGTGCGCACGCTGTTCATTTCTCGAATCTTCTCTGCTAATGCTGACACTAGCCACCTGGAGATCACCGCATTCCTCGCTTCACTTTGCAAAGTATGCTCCATGTTTCGCACAGGCGTCGCCCCACCAAATGTGAACTTCGTACGTCCTAATCCAGCTATACAATGGGAAGAGTACAAGCTGCGCGTTCCGACAGAGCCAGAGCTGCTCGCGTCTCGGAGCTCATCTGGCTGTCTCCTGGTTGCGATGGCCAGTTCCGGAATTGGCGGAGCGAATGGGCACTGTGTCATTGAGGGTCCACCATCTGCGCGGAGGGCATTATCGTCCTTGTGGCGATCCAGCGCCCTTGGGCTATCTTTGATCATTGCTGCTGGACTATCACCTCGCTCTGTAACCGCCATAGAAGATGATCTGAAAGGCCTCATTGCAAAGGAGGACGCAAATGTCGTCTCGCGAGTCTATGGCCGTAGGTCGAGGTCTCTGACATGGCGTTCCTTCTCCATCGCCCAGCACGGTCAGTTATCCCGTTTTAGCGAACAAATGATCATCCCGAAGTCTGCACCCCCGGTCGTATATGTCTTCTCCGGGCAAGGTCCCCAACATTTTGACAGTACGTACAGTTTTTCGTGAACTGGTCTTCCATGATGGTTCTCATTTGTGTAGTGGGGCGCGATCTCTACAAGACATCAGCTGTGTTTCGCGCGACAGTGAGAGAAATGGACAAAGTCTACCGCGACGCTATGGGGTTGTCGCTGGTCGATCAGATAGGCCTTTTCGACGATAAGGACTCTATCAATGGCCTGGGCAGCATATGGCCAGTAGCGGTTACTCTTCCCGCTTTGACTATGCTTCAAATTGCTCTTGTTGACACTTTGTCTGGCTTGGGTGTAAAAGCAGACGTTGTCATCGGCCATTCCGCAGGCGAGACCGCAGTGCTGTATGCCTCCGGCGCATGTTCTGCGGCTATGGCCATGGAAATTGCGATAGCAAGAGCGAAGGCTATGACGGTACTTGAAGATCGTAATGGCGCAATGGCGGCACTCGCATGTTCTCCACATCAGGCGCAAGAAGTGATAAGTAGCGTTCTTTTGGACGCAGGGCCAGGCTTTCTGTCCATCGGATGCTACAATAGCCCTGATGCTGTGACGCTCTCTGGAGCCAGTTCTCATGTCGACCTTGCTGTCAAAAAGGCGATTGCTCACGGGATCTTCGCCAGACGCCTCCGTACGCATATTCCTGTTCACTCAGACATGATGGATCTTTGCCAGGACGAATATGAGATATTGTTGGCGGAAGTCTTCGCTAGATATTCCCTCAAGCGTCCAATAATCGAGGTATACTCGACGATGACTGGTGCCCAGTACGAATCTCCATTTGATGCTTCGTACTTCTGGGATAGTGCTCGTGGTCCCGTCCACTTTACTCCTGCCGTAGAGGCCATTCTAGCAAAGTATCCTAATGCGGCTTTTGTTGAAGTCGGTCCCCATCCGGTACTCATTAGCTATCTAACGTCCATGATCGACGAGCGCAATGCGAATGTAATTCCTACTCTCAGGCGACCAAAAGTACAAGCACCTGGCGCTGAACTATTCAGCTTCCTGGAATGTCTGGGAATGCTGGTTGTTTATGGCTGTAGCACCATTGACTTCGACGTTCTGTGCGGAGTCGTCGAGGCAAGCGAAGGGTCCATCCCTGAGTATCCCTTTTCCCGCAAGGACGTTCCCTACCTTGCTCATACACACCATGTCGCCCGGATGAAGCAAGTTCGCAACGGCCCATTGAATTACCCGCAGCTGCAGATCAATGCGAAGACACATCCTGACCTGGCCGAACATGTCATCAAGGATGAGCCAATCATGCCGGCAACAGGTTATATTGAGATGGTGAGCTTATTCCGCTGTATACGCTGCAAACAATTGCACTCAGCTGTCCCAGGCTTTAGAGTTTGGTGCAAGAAAACTCTGGAGCGTAGAGTTCGTTTCTTTTCTCGCGCTGTCATCTGAACGTCCCACACCCGTTCACGTCGACCTTGAGGGTCCACGATGGACAGTGCAGAGTGCGTCACCTATGATTTTCGCGAACGAGTGGCCACCCAAGGTAGAGTTACCAGATTGTTTATATATCTACCCTCACCTTTTGCTATTCACCAGTACGACCGTGTTCACGCGAGAGGATATTTATCCAAAACGTATGAGGCTGGAGACGAGAAGCCACCTATAAATCTCACCGAGGTCCGTAAGCGACTCAAACCTATCGACATGAGAGGTAAGCTTCAAACGTTCTCCGAGCTGACAGAGATTCATTAGTGGGCAGATTTCTACGACGGATTCACGAACTTTGCTTCTTATGGGCCGATATATCAAAGAGTGGTCGCGTGCAGTAGAGGTATGGACGGGTCCGGACGGGAGGAGTTCTTAATGCAAGTAAGAGGTGGGGAAGATGATCTTGAGAAGTAAGCCAATCTCACCATGAATACTGACTGCAGCTCACACCCACACAACCGTCGCTAGTTTAGATCAATATCGGATACATCCGGCCATACTCGATGCTGCGTTGCATGGCTTGGTGCATCCTGCGCTCACCGGCAACAAGAATGACCGGGACCCTCGATACTTCCTTCCATCTAGAACGGCCGCGTTTGTCTTACATGATGGATTGGTTACAAGGCCTTTCCCACCTGTCGTTTACACTTATTCCACTATCACAAAGTGGACGCCAGGTACGATCTGCGATCGTAAGCCTGATCTGTTGCTCACAACCTTCCAGAGTGTGTGGTGTGTGACGTTATATTGGTAGACGGGGAGGGAATCCGGTTGTGCACCTTTGATGGATTTGAGATTGCTAGACATGGCCAATTCACCAGGGAAGTGAAACGCCGAAATGAACTCATTCACCGTCCTACCAGCCTCAGTGTACCTCGGCGAAGCGCCGATAGCGAGACAATGGCTAGCCCGGGGAATGGATGCCTCCTAGATGTCCCTGTTTTGCCTCTATCAAAGCAGCGTCGCGGGCGAGATTTGTCAACAGGGAACGCGTCTGACAGTGGATACAGCAGCCTCTCTGACACCGAATTAAATGCTTCGCCCCACCACGCTGCCAGAGCATCATATATTCTGTTCGAGTACGTGAGAGGTAAAGAGATGGAACTACAGCCTCTTATTATGACCCTGGATCCACTAGACAAACTTGAAGTCTGGTTCATCGCATCCGCGGGACTCGATGGGGATGCTGGCGTTGGATTTACGAAATCTCTGCGAAGAGAGTATCGAAGTTGGGTCGTCAGGATGGCTGTGTTTGAAGGTTCGTGGACCGTGGAGGAGCGAAACGAGGCTATCAAGTATCTGTCTTTGCGTCCCGAGTGCGAAGTCGAGATTATGATCGACTCCTACGGATCTGTGCTTGCGCCGCGAATCGTTGCAACAACGCCGCCTACTTCAGTATCTGCTTTTCGCTTGGAATACCCTTGGATATGTGATCAGTCTTCCGTCAAGCAGACTGTAACGCCTTACATTCCAGAAGGATTCGCCCTCGTTCGTGTTGATTGCCTAGCGAGAGGACCTGGTCAGCTGTGGGCATTCTTTGGGGGCACAGAACACATCCCTGGTATGATCGCTGGGATCACGTCGGGGCCGATATCCAATTTCGTACTCTCTCACAAGGAGAGCTTGGTTGAGTATCCTCATTCTGCCGATTTCCATTCAGCGCCACCCCTCTTAGCACTCACAATTGCCGCTCTTGCTCTTGGGCCTAGCACCTTTTCTAAGCCGGCACGTCTCTGTCGCGAGACGATTCTAGTGACAGACGCAGATACCGAACTAGGAAGTCAGGTCGCCAGCATATACACCCAGCTAGGACTTAGCGTTCTTACCTTGCCAGCCGATATCAGGTTCTCGGAGCTCTTAACACTCCCTAAAAGGCCCCGATTCATCGTATCAGGATCGGAGGACACAGGAGTGATCAAGATGCTGAGAGAACTGACATCCGGATTTGGGAAGGTCTTCCTGTGGAATGATAATAGCGCGGGTATTGCTGGACTTGTGGACACTGATCCATGGCTTGTCGCTGACGCTCTTAGATGCGGGATCTCAGGCACCACATTGATAAATGAAAGCTTCTGCTCTCCATCTGAATTCTTGAGCGAAGTTCCGACCTGCATTTCAGTCCCGTTGACTCACGATGTCTTCAATCCCGAGAAAGCGTATCTCCTTGTTGGCGGGATTGGAAGTCTCGGCCTGCGAGTCGCTCTATGGATGTATGAGGTACGCGCAATGTTCTCCAGGCTCCCAATTATCTAACCGGATTATCAGAAAGGTGCGAGAGAAATTATATTAACATCAAGGTCAGGACGCGAAGGTATCATCAGAAGAGACGAGTTTGTCTGCCAGCGCATAATGGTCTACTTGGAGAGCTTGCCTGATCTCGTGCTGAGAGTGGAAGCAATCGACGCGTTGTCCGTCCAACAGATGAAGCATCTCGTTGATAGCCTTGGACGTCCGCTAGGAGGCTGTATGATCCTCACAGCGATTCTCATTGATCGCACGTTTGCATCACAAACAGCCGAGACATTTGAAGCGCCCATCTCGTCCAAGGTCAATGTCTTGAGGACCATCGAGGAAGTGATCTCCATCGCTTCCCTGGATTTCCTGATTGCTTTCTCGTCGGTATGTGGGTTGTTCGGCAATGCGGGTCAAACAAACTACGCATGGTGAGTCGTATACATGGTAGCATTGTGCATTCAATAAACAGATTTACAGCGCGAATATGGCTTTGACCGGACTAATGCGGAAATACAAGAATGCGACAACGATCGCTGTACCATTTATTTTCGACACGGGTTATCAGATCTATATCTCCTCTTCTGACACTTTGCGGTGGGCACGAATGAAACACTTAATGAGTTGGAGTATGTCGAGCGCAGGTACGTGTCCATCGGAAAGTTCAACGGTTGTTCCTTTTATATGACTTAACTATTCTATACAGAGTTGTGCGACTGCATTGAGGATAGCATTCGAATGCTGCGCGAAGGTCCCATCTGGCAGTACATTCCGGATCTTGACTGGAATCTCGTACGCTCAAATCTTGGGCCATCTCCAATGTACAACGACCTCATATCTGATGGTTCATCCATGAGCCCGGATTTGGCGGAGCCAGAGGGCAGCAACCTGCGTGAGATTGTGTGCAAGACACTTGATCTTACTTCTGAGGACCTTTCGGCGGATGTTCCCTTCATCTCTTATGGCCTGGACTCTCTCTCAGCCGCATCACTCTCATACGCCTTGCGTCCCCTTGTTGCTGTGTCCCAAATACAACTCCTCGCCGACTTGACGCTCACTGACCTTGAGCTTCGCACCGAAGAAGCTGGTAGAGCTCATACATCCAGTCTGTCCGGAGGCTCCACCGATGTCGACCAGCATCGTTTCCAATCCAAGTCTGTGGAGATGCTCGATATGGTTGACAAATACACTACTGGCTTTCCCCACCGTTCGCCTGTCAGCACCAGTACGGTCGAGCGTCCAAAGATAATTCTCATCACCGGAACCACCGGCAGTCTTGGTGCTCATCTGCTCGCCCATCTCTTGCAGTTAGACGGAGTGCAGACGATATATGCTCTGGTCAGAAAGCGGGCTGGCATGTCCAGTATGAATCGCCAAGTGGCTGCATTCACAGCGCAAGCATTGGTATGCTCCCTGCTGAATTCTGAGCGGCTGGTTCTTTTAGACGGTGATCTGCATGAGCCCTCGCTCGGGCTTCAAGCATATGATTATGATAAGGTAGGTAATGTACATTGTTGCAATGCTGTTTCTCATTCTATGACGTGCATCTAGCTGCGATCCTCGCTCACACACATCGTGCACCTCGGTGAGCAGAATGCTGCATAACGTCAAACCATTCAACTGAAACACGCTCTTTTAGCTTGGCCCATAGATCTCACGAGCTCCCTGGCCGCATTTGAGCCTGCTATTAACGTCCTCCGACGACTCATAGACTTGTCGTCTGGCTTCTTGGACCGCCCGCCGCCAAGACTGATCTTCGCAAGCAGTACGGGGATCTACCGGAGTAAGCTTCATTCCCATTCAAAGCGTCAGTTTCTCAGTCGCCACATTTCAGGAATCGAGTCGCTAAACGCTTTGAGAGAAGAACCTATCGATGACCCGACAGTCGCGATCGACTCGGGTTACACCGAATCCAAGTGGGTCTCGGAGCAGGTCCTTGCTGTCGCAGCAGAGCACAATCTGGTCCAGCCCGTCATTGTGCGTATCTCGCAGCTCTCTGGTAGCAGGAATGGCGCATGGAAAGTGACCGAATGGGTCCCGAGTCTCGTTTCCGCAAGTTGTGCGATGGGCTGTCTGCCTGATGCAGTCGGGGTACGCATTTTCTCTTTCCGTTCACATCTCTCAATCAGTATGAACGTATTGTTCTCACAGAGCGTATCCTGGATCCCGGTCGATATTGCCGCTTCCGTTCTCGCCGACATGCTCGACTCATCGCGCCCCGTCCTGCACCTGCGTAATCCACAGCCCGTTTCCTGGTCGCACATGATGGCGCATTTCTCGGCCATGTTGAACCTGCCCCTCGTTAGCTATCCCGAGTGGGTCGCACGCTTGGAGAGAGACATGGCGGATGTGGAGAAAGCACGATCGCCGTATCTACAAGCCGGGATTCGCTTGTTGGAGTTCTTTCGCGTAGGAAGCGATCCAGACCACCAGAATCGTGTGGGGAATGCAATGACCGGTAGCAGGCCGATTGTCGTTGAGCTAGAGGAAGCGCGAAAGGTGAGCAAGACACTGGATGCTGGTGTACCACAGTTGGGTGAAGAGGACGTGCGGCGGTGGGTGGAGTGGTGGAGGACAACAGGACAGCTGCCGACGATGTAATGCGAGTTGATAATTTCAATGTGGCCTTGGAGTGATAGTCGTTGCAAGCTGCGTTGGATTATATACTATACGTCAGCATGACCAATGACCACAGAAAGGTCGGTTAACGGCTTCAAGTCGTGAACGAGAAGAAGTCCGCACGCATTTGACCACAATCGATAGATCACCACGTGGCTCGCCTCACGGATCACACCAACTCCTGATGAGTTGAACTCCTCCCACTGCCCAATGCATTTTAATCTATCACGACATACTACACATAACCATGACTCGAACGCAACCTCAGTCCAAATATGCGTCTTCGAGCAACTGACGAGCAATGAGCTAACCAAGGACATCCGCACGACGCTGAGATGGAGGCTGACTTGAGTCTGAAGGAGCCGCTGAGTCCGCGCCGGAGTGTATAAGGTGGCTAGAAATTAATGGGCCGGCCAATTAGCATTAAACGCTGCTGTGAATGTCAACACTCACTGGAAGACTTCGCGCACATCACGCGCGTACAAGGCATCCTCAATCTCACACTTGTGCAACTTTGCTTTTACTTTCTCCATCTTTGCTTGCTTCATCTGTGTTTTTGCAGCAGCCTCCTTAGCAGCCTGACGTGCCAGTTGTTTAAACTACAAGTTGTTTTTCCTCTCTTGTGCTGCATTAGCCACATTTACTCCCTTCTTGGTTTATCTCTCCTGCTCATCCCACTTTGCTTGCGACATACTGTGTGTCAGTGTCAGCCCTACATGACAACTCAGGAGCATAGAAGGGTGCTCACAGAACATTGTGCATGACCTGTTTCATACCTTTACATGCCAAATCCCAGCATTTTGCAAGAACACCATGACAATCAATGACACTGGTCCCTGTTGAAATATAAATGTGGCAATAAACCTTATCTGTGTTGACTAGACACAAGGCAAGTAAGAAGGCTTAAGAGTTGTCTTATTATCCTGTGAAGACTCTAAGACAAGGATGAGAGAGTGTCAAGGTATCGCCCTTGACCCTAACCCTAACTCTAACCCTAGACTTAC